GGCATCCCTGAGGAATGAGGATCTGGGGGAACCAGCGCTGATGTGCAAGAACCGGGTCTGCCAAATTGGTAAGAGATCCCTTCCCTTCATCCCTCTCCCATCCCATTCCTGGTCAACATAAACCTGCCGGGAGATCCTCTTTCCAGAAAGTGTGGTCTTTCCTTAAGCTCCTTTCTTCTGCCCTCTCCCTTCAAAAGAAAGCTCTTCCAAGTAAAGTTTGGTCCAGGACACACTGCAGAAATCATCCAGTTTGAGACCGCTTTAACTGCCCTGGCTCAGTGCTAGGGAATTGTGAGGATTGTAGTTTATTGTGGCACCAGAGCTCTCTGACAGAGAAGGCTCAATGTCTTACAAAACTACAGTTCCCAGAATTCCCTAGCATTGAGCCAGGGCAGTTCATGCAGTCTCAAACTGGATGATTTCTTCAGTGTGTTTTGGACCTTTGTAAACCTTAACTCTGATCCCTTTAATCTTCATCACGGAACCTCAGACTCAAAAATCAAACCCCCAGAACCTGGGAAAAAATCACATTTGGAGCTAGGGGATCCTGGAGCCATAGTCTAAAAAGGTACCTTTTCCTATTCTGCCCCAAACATTTTTATCTTCATCTGTGATGCCTGTCTCTCCATGTCCTTTCGTCTCTGGTTTTCCTCCTCACTCACTATCACTATGGTCCAACACACACTGCAGAAATAATCCAGTTTGAGATCGCTTTAACTGCCCTGGATCAATGTTGCCCACCTCTGTGTTTAGATCAGGGGTAGGCAACCTTTCCCCTTTAAGGGCCGAGGGACTTCAGCTCCCAGAATCCCAGGAGCTATTGGCCAACATGGGACTATTGGCCAACATGGCTGAGGCTTCTGGGAGCTGAAGTCCCTCGGCCCTTAAAGGGGAAAGGTTGCCTACCCCTGGTTTAGATCCTGAGAGGCCTGGGCCCTCCAGAGATGTTGCCCCCATCCCTCAGACCTGCTTCTGCCTTCAGGGCTGCCAGCCTCTTTGCTGGCTCTTATGGTGCCAGCAGCTTTTATCTTTATCTTTTATCTTTAGCTGCAGGGGGATAATGCGGATCCCAATGCCTCCACGGCTCATCTGCTTACCCTGCAGATGGCTGAAAGTCAAGCTGCTGTCAGTGGCACAGAAGCAAAGCAGGCATGACCCCTCCATCCACGATAAAACCAGGTGTCAAGCCAGCTTTCAGGCTAAGTGACATAAACTCTAGCCTTTGCCTACAGAAGGATCCCTTGCATCCCCTGCTATGGAAATATTAAAAAAACAAGATCCATAGCCCAGTGACAGAGGCCACGTTTTGCATGTACAAGGTTCAATCCTCCTGTGCCATCAGATAGGGCGAGAAAAGACTCGGATCTCGAATTTTGGAGAGCGGCTGCTGATCAGAGTGGAAAATACCAGTCTAAGGGGGGGTTGCAGACTGCCAGAAATAGTGCAAATTGAGTCCACTTTTAGGGTTAGGGTTAGTGCTAGGGAATCATGGGAATTGTTGTTGTTTTTTCTGAGACATTGAGCCTTCTCTGTCAGAGAGCTCTGGTGCCACAATAAAACAGTTCCCATGATTCCCTAACCCTAACCCTACAAGTGGACTCAATTTGCACTATTTCTGGCAGTCTGCAACCCCCCTAAGTTTGACCAATGGTCTGATTTCTTTGTTCCTAATAGAGAGAGCAGGCTATAAATTAACCTTGCCATGTTTTCTCACTGATGGCTCCTCTGTGTCAGGCTTGTTATGTCCAAAGATATAGCCGTGTTAGTCTGTAGAATCAGTATGTAGAGAGATCTTGTAGCACCTTTGAAACTGACTGAAAGAAAGAAGTTGGCAGCATGAGCTTTCGTAGACTTACTGTATATACTCATGTATGAGTCTAGAAATTTTAGTCAAAAATTGACCCCAAAAAGCTGGGTCGACTTATCCATGGGTCAATGTAAGTATTGTATTTTAACTCTTTCCCATCTCGGAGTGGCAAAAATTAAGAGCTTAGTCCAGGGGTAGGCAACCTTTCCCCTTTAAGGGCCGAGGGACTTCAGCACCCAGAAACCCAGGAGCTATTGGCCAACATGGGACTATTGGCCAACATGGCTGAGGCTTCTGGGAGCTGAAGTCCCTCGGCCCTTGAAGGGGAAAGGTTGCCTACCCCTGGCTTAGTCCATCCTAGGAGCAACCAAAAGAAGCACCAACCCCATCTACTCTTTCCACCATGATGCCGCTTCTGGCCTTTTTGAATGCTTGGGTGGGAAAATGGCAGTGGTGGCACCTCAGGAAATCAGGATTAGAAGGATCTGAAGAAGACATTTATGTATAAAGACGGTAAATTTCATCCTTTATATCCTTTGCTACATGCCCTTAAGTTTTATCCTCAATTTATCCACGAGGCATATCAAAATCCACAATTTTGGCCCCAAAACTTGCCCTCGACTTATACATGAGATTGCCTTATGGTCGAATATATACAGTAAGTATTCCTCAGATGCATTTGGCTTGTTAAGTGTCAGGCTTGACCTCTATTCTAGGTTCCATTCCTCTAAAATGTTGAATGAATCTCTTTATTTTGGTCACATGCCAGAACACATACAAATAACATCAGCAGCATATTTACAAAATGCCCATAACGTAGCTGGAATATAGAATTTACTGCCCCAAATTCCTTTCTAAAGTCTGTATTAGAAGAAGATTTTTATTTGAGTTTATGTACAGTATCAGAACATGGTCTGAACCCCGCTCAGCCACATAAACCCACTGGGTGCCCTTAGGGAAGTCACAATCTTTCGGCATCAAAGGAAGGCAAAAGCAAACCCTCTCTGAAGAAATCTTTCCAAGGAAACCTTGTGACAGGTTTGCCTTAGGGTCACCATAAGCCAGAAATGACTTGAAAGCACACAACAACAACTGTATCAGAGCCTGGTCTTGGTTTCCTTTTCTAGCTCAATATGTCTCCTTGCATTTTAAATAACTTTGTTGTTGTGTGTCTTCAGGTCATTTCTGATTTATGGTGACCCTTTCACAAGTTTTTCTGGGGTTGAGAGTATGTGACTTGCCCAGGATCACCTCTGGGTTTCCACGGCTGAGCGGGGAATCGAACCTTGATCTCCAGAGTTGTAGTCTAACACTCAAAACCTCTACACCACACTGGCTGTCTCATAAAGAACTAATAGAAAATTATTTTGTCTGTTTTACTAGTGTCGATGATTTCTGCTGTTCTTATTGTGATGTTTTTGCCTGCTCCTCAAACTGGCAAAACAAAAAAGGTTCCTTATAGTTTGGGTGTTTCTTATAGTTCAGGACACTGGAACTACATTTGTAGCATATACGGTATATATACACACACACACGTGTGTGTGTGTATACACATGTATATATTAAACATTCAATTTGTAATTATATTCTGAGTGGACTGATTTTTTAATATACATGATAATTTTATAGTTATATATCATTGCAAAGTTATATATAATGAATTTTGAGTTCCCAGACTAACAATATGACCTTCATTCTTTAAAGGGGGAGAGTTAATACAGTGGGTCCTTGATATCCACTAGGGTTTGGTTCCAGGACCCTCCGTGGATAACAAAATCTATGTATCCTCAAGTCCCATTAAATACAATGGCATAGTAAAATGGTGTCCTTTATATATAATTGCAAAATCAAAGTACAATTTATATTTCTTTTGAATATTTTCAAACTGAGGATGCTTGAATCTGTGGACAAAGAATCCATGGATAAGGAGGACCGACTATATTAAATTTTTCTTTTCTTTTTTCCTGAAAACTTCAGGTCTTTTTTGGCAAATCCAAGGGGAAAGTCTCTTCCATGTCTTCAAAATTTTCAGAAATTTTACATCTTTAAGTAGGAACTGATGAAAAGACCTCAACTTGGACCCTAAAGAACTGTCTCTGGTCAAATATAGGCAATACAGGCTAGTTATATAAATAGTCTAATTTGGTGGTTAGGCTGTTAAGAAAATGCATGGCAGGCACAGCTTTAAAAATCTGTTGAATTTCTGCCTGCTCTGCAGCTCTTAAAGTTAGACCATGATTCCCACTGCTGAGGAAGAGTACAGCTTGTTGCACGATGAGAAAATACTTTAATAGTTTAAGCCACTTGCGCCTCAAAAAAATAGGCAATACAGTTCTAAATTGTGCTTCCTTAAATTCTATGGAATTCAGAGGACCTCAGGGCTTTCTCTCAATGCTCTAAAGCAGGGGTAGGCAACCTTTTTTACCTTGGGGCCGGTCCCGCGAAGTCCCTCCCGCCGCTGGGCCGAGGGGGGGGGAAATGGTGGCATGCGCACCCCTCCGCGTGCTGCCAGCCAGCGCGCGCTGCCACCGCCGCCACCGCCTCCGCCATTTTGGAAATCAAAATGGCGGGCGCGTTGCGTTTGCACATGCGCAGTACTCCTGCGCATGCACAAACGAGTCGCGGCTGCTATTTTGATTTCCAAAATGGTGGCCGCGACTCGTTCGCGCATGCGCAGGAGTACTGCGCATGTGCAAATGCGTCGTGACCACCATTTTGATTTCCAAAATGGTGGTTGTAGTGCGTGCGGCCGCACGGCGGAAAAAACGCGCGGCAGTGGCAACCTTCCACCTGGGCCGGTAAGTCCAGGGACCTGGGCCTTAACCGGCCCCCGGGCCGTAGGTTGCCAGTCCCTGCTCTAAAGCCACCTTCCCATTTAAATCCATTGTTCTTTGTACCTGTTGTTCACAGAATTAAAATTCCAGGGCCTGGGCAGTACCCAGATTATCGTATTATTTTCTTTTCTTAACAGGCAACCCCAAAAAGGCAACAATGGAGCCATCCACTGGTTGCTCTGTAGGTCAGGGATGCTCCCCTCCTGTTGTCACATCAGATGTTGGGATCCGGAAGCCTCATTCTTGATGGAATTGAATAGGGGATGGCTAAGAGGGAAATGACGGCTCATTGGATCACTCCTGCGCTTGCAGGAATCGGATGGGCCTGAGAAGACTTTAGCCACCCCCATCTCACGATTTCACCATAAAAACCATTTAAATAAAGAACTTCTCTGAACTCATAAATGTGTTGCCAGAAATGTACTGTCTATTTTTATCATTTTTTTTTGTACAGTGCCATACACATTGACAGTGCTATAATACTAATGTCTGAATCTTTTTGATAGTTCCAACCAGAGTAGATTCATTGAATTAATGGGATTTACTTATATGTTGATGACCCATTCTACAATTAATTCAAAGGGTCTGCTCCGATTGGGATTAAATGGGACTTAGACCAATGGTTTCAGGCTTGACTAGTAAAATCAGAATAAGGAAGATGTATTTATTTCACATATTTACCCAGCAACTATTCTTTGGGCACCTTCAGAAATATAAAATTATGGTGTTTATAACATGGGGGGAAAGTGCCAAAATCCCATCCAGAAACAGGATTTAAAAAATGGAAAAGCGGATTTAAAAACCCACAAAAGTGGATAGTTTTTCACACACGACGATGCTAATGTGACATTAACCCAAACAGAAAGTAGAGAAAACTTGTCCCTTTTTACTTTCGGGATTTTCCAAAAGTAAAAAGGAGCGGGTTTTGTATAGTTTCCGTTCAGGTTAATGTTGCGCTAATTCTCATTAATGCTAACGTCATCTGAAAAACCACCTGCTTTTGTGGGTTTTTCTACTTTCTGTTCATGTTAACCCCGAACATCATAAGAAAACTGCCTGTTTTTATAGGTTTTTTTCAATTGAAATCCAGTTTCTGTACGGGATCTGTCCCGTGTGATAAACTCCTAAATTACAGAATAAATCCAAATGTCATTTTATGAAAACAGAGTTAAAACCACTAAAGGATGGGGGGGAATACTGTTATATCAAACAAAAAAATAACAAAGACCAAGAATGGTTTCCCTCCAAACTAAAAGAGCTACCACTAAAAAGAGAGCACAAAAGTAGAACAACCTTATCCTACTTTAGAAGACTGAGAATTTCAAATCTGGTGACACAAATACAAATTCAAGATGGACCTGTCAGGTAGAGGAGGAGGCATAATTTCATGCTGAAAAGACTCCTCTTGTGCCTGACCATCTTATCTCAGCTTGGTGAGGAGGCACTCAAAGAAGGGTCTCTCTTGACAATGGGATATATGGGTGCTGCTTAGGGAATTCTTGGCACCATTGTCCAAAAAAGTAACTTTTCCAAGCTTTGAATAGGGTAAAGAAAACTATCCCCCCCCCAACTTGTAAAGTTATAAAGGCTTTTCATCCCACTGTGTACGTCAGCTAGCTCATCTACATGTTGATGTATGCCTTCAAGTCATCCCTAAGGAGTCCCTATCATAGTTTTCTGAGGCTGAGAGTGTGTGACTCACCCAGGCAGCCAGTGGGTTTCTGTAGCCAAGAGAGGAATCAAACCCAAATCTCCATTTTTGTAGTCCAATACTCAAACCACTACATCACACCATCTACATAGGCTTGCCTTATTCCCATTAAAGTTATTGGTTCTCTTGCCCCTGCTATTTTCTCTGCCAGTGCTTTGTGGATTCCCATCTCCTCAGATTCTACTATTTCTATCTCAAACTCAGTAGGATTCACACTATAATAAATTCTACTTGGACTGTCCAAAGATTTCTTCATCACCATACATGTGTAAATCTGATTATCAGTTGTAGCTATTATTTGCCATCAAGTGGCAAATTTTTGGCAAATGCTCTGCCATCATAGGGTTACCACTTTGCTAGCTACTATTTGCCATCACAAGGTTGCCATAGAGCATCCTATGAATAAGGTTCTTCAAGTGCTGGGTCCAAAACACACTGCAGAAATAATCCAGTTTGAGACCATTTTAACTGCCCTGGCTCAGTGCTAGAGAATCCTGGGAATTGTAGTTTATTGTGATACCAGAGCTGTCTGACAGAGAAGGTTCAATGTCTCACAAAACTACAACTCAAGAATTCCCTAGCATTGAGCCTGAGCAGTTAAAGCGATCTCAAACTGGATTATTTCTGCAGTGTGTTTTCGACCAGTTATCAACTGGCTTGCAAACTCAGGGCCATGGCTTCCTTGGTATAAACAATCCACCTGTAATGCAGTCTCTTTCCCTACTGTTTCCCACTTCACCAAGCATTATTGTACTTTCCAAGGAGTCACATCATCTCATGGTATCTCCAAAGTACAACATATTCAGTTTAATTTAGGGCCTTTGCAGACTGCTAGAAATAGTGCAAATTGAGGCCATTTTAACTGCCCTGGCTCAGTGCAAGGGAATCGTGGGAATTGTATTTTTTCTGAGACATTGAGCCTTCTCTGTCAGAGAGCTCTGGTACCACAATAAACTACAGTTCCCATGATTTCCTAGCACTGAGTCATGGCAGTTAAAGTGGACTCAATCTGCACTATTTCTGGCAGTCTGCAAAGGCCCTAGTTTATCGGAATAGGATGCATTTCTAATTTCTCAATGACTGCTAAATGACCATTGTTCAAATAATCATTTCCATTCTCCATGCACACCTCAGCATGTGTATCAATACCTTGCAACTGGGGCTACATCCACACATCTGACAAAATATGATGGAGTCCATAAATG